CCGGCCGCGGCGCTGCCCTCCAGCGAGACCCCCTCGCGCGGGTCCCCCCGGAAGCTCAGGAAGGGAGAGACACGGACCAGCTGCCCCTTGCGGACCTCCGGGCACCACACCTCGTCACGGTCGTCGACCACCAGGGCGCGCGAGGGGTCGTGGGGGAAGATCTCGCGCAGGTCCTTGAGGCCCTGTGGCGTGTTGTCGCGCGTGAAGAGCCGGGCGGGCACCTTAGGCGTTGCTTCGTTGGACCTGCGGTGCACCGCTCGTGCTCCTGATGGGCCCCGCAGGGCCCCTTGAGGCGCCCCAGCGATGCACGGCAGGTCCACCCTCGCTTCACTCCCCCCACTGAACGCCCCTCCATTACGCAGCTCCCGCGCACCCCGAAGAAGGCCCTGTCTGGGTCCAGCCGCCCGACGACCTAGAAAGAAGAACAAACGGCATAAACAGACACGTTTGGCGCTCCGCGCGGATTTCTTGGATCTGCGCTGGACCCCCCTCCCTGGCGCACGGAGCGCGCCAGGGGCGGCGCCGGAGGAGCCGCCAGGGGGCCCCAGCGCGGATCCTAGAAAAATCCGCGCGGAGCGCCAACAGTTTATGTTTAGCCGTTTTTTCTTCTGCGTCGAGACCTCCGTCGCGTACGCGGTCGTCCCGTGCGTGTACAGGTACAGGTCGAAGTGCTCGAGCGCCCACTGCAGGAAGGGCCGCACGTGGGGGCGGAACCGGACGCCGTGGCCGCCGCTGCCCGCCTGGGCCGCGGGCGCGTGCCGCGGGTCGGCGTGCACGAGCGTGTGGTCGACGTTCGAGGAGGAGCAACTGTGAGGGGGCCCTGGGGCGCACAAATAGATACACACACAAATAACAGGATCCCCATAGTTCCCCATATTTTCTGGGCTTTCGTCTTCCCCCCCACTTCCCACATCTTCCCATATGCTCTGGGGGATCGACGATGAGTTGTGTCTGTGTGCTTTTTCCTCTCCTGAAGCTGGACAACCACACGCGAACTTCTTTGCATGTTTGCCAAGTCATTGCCTCGTGCAGGTCTGAGCGCGACTCGTCCCGCGCCCTGCTTTTTCGCCTTCGCGGCAGCGCGGGCGGGCCACCGCGACTCTTCTACGGACCAAAAAAAAACGACGGGCCGACAAAAAAAAGGCGGGGCAGGCAAGGGACAAAAGCGGGCAATCGAGAGCGGCTAAGAGGAGGGTGTCCAAGAGGGGGGGGTGCAAATCATGACCGGCGGCATGTGCGCGGCCCAGCGGGGGGGCCAGGGACGTATTAAAACAAGAAGAGGCGTCATGAAATCTGGGGAAATATTATTGCCCACGCCATGATATCCCCCCCCCTAGTCATCACCCCCCTCTTTGCCGCCCCCGAGGCAAGGGGCAAAAACGAGACAAAACAGGCATGCGAACCCTACCCCTGCAGGTCAGATGTCCGAAACACCAGCTGAGATTCAGGATATAACGGATGTCTGCAGCCCAGTGAGCTCAGCGGGGGTGTAGCGACGATTGGGCCCATAGGGGTAGGGTTCGCAATCGGTAGCAGAAAAACTATGCAAATCACAAACACAAACTGTCGGAGGTCGGCGCAGATTTCCTGGATCGGCGCTGGGCTACCCCTCCTGGCGCGCGGAGCGCGCCAGGGGCGGCACCGGAGGCGCCGCCAGAAGGGGGCCCAGCGCTGGTCCAACAAATCCGCGCAGGGGAACCGAAATTCTGGGATCAGGAACTTTTGTCTAGCGTGTCGCGGCGGCGGCCCCGCCGACACACCATGCCCTGCGAGCTGATAACGCGTCGCTCCGCTCAGCGGGACGGGAGGCTGGGAAAGGCTCGGGACGTGAACGCCTAGGGGCCAGGACGTAGATGGCCGTGGATAGCTTGTCGCGCCGAAGCGTGGTGGGCCAGAGCCAGCGGCGTGACACGCTGCTGTAATCCAAAGTCTCCGGCCGCTCGTGTCTTTCCCAAGGGCCAGCCCTTCGTTCCGAGCTCTTTTCCTGAAGGTCCCGAGGCCCGGCGCGGCTCCGCAGAGGCCGAAAAACGGCAGAGGACCTTCGCCTGGTCGTGACTTCTGTCACGGCGCAGGGCATGTCTGGGACAGCTTATGCCTGAACGGTTTGGTCTTCCCTGAGCTCCGACATCGTAACAAAATCGAAGCACCGCTCGAAATCACGACAGCAGCTCTAGACCCCACATTCGTGCCGAATTTGCCGAGCCAGATCGATGTACGAGGGCCCCAGCGCCCAAAGACCGGCCGAAAGCGCATGGCGGGAAAACATAGCAACGCGCCCAGACCTCACGGTTGGCGACGCGCTGAGGGGGGTAGGGGGAGGGGAGGAAAGACGTCTTAGACGGAGGCTGCTTCTTAGAAGGCGAGGGCCTTAGATTTATAGACAAGGCCCGCGCCTTCTGAGAAGCAGGGGTGGTTCTAAGAAGCCTTCCCTTACCAGCCTGGAACAACTCCCTATCCCTATGCTGGGCACCTCCTCATCACGAGACCAATCTTAGGGATTCCCTTATGTCTTGAGGCCGCATCCCTCAGACTGTCACCGCCTCTTGGCGTGTCAATCTTAGGGATAGGGATAAGTTCGAGGCTGGCAGTTCCCCCCTCCCCCTAACCCCCACGTGCGCGTGGCCGACGAGGGCTGTTCCTCCTCGAGATGTCCAGGACGAGGACGAGCCGGCGCGCCCGCGCGCGCCTCTCCGCCTCGGGAGGCCTCTCACACATAGGGTCCGCGTGGATGCGGCCCGAACATCGCGACGCACCGGGGATGCAACGCCAACGCTAGGAGGAAAACAAACCTACCTCGCTCTTGACCACCCTCGCTTCCAAGAGATACCAAACGATGCCAAACTACGGCCTGTACTGGTCGGGCCGCCTGACAAGGAGGCACGTGGTATGGCTTGGTCTTGTCTGGAAGCGAAAAGCGGGGGAGGTTGTTCACGCTCTGAAGTGCATCGGTGATGCGTCGGCAACGTCGGCGTGGAGACAATCGAGCTGCACAGCGAGACGCGTCGACGATGAATTGGCGAGGCAGTGCGATCCTCCGGCGCCAGCTACTCTGACCACGTCTTCGAGGCCTAGAGAAGGAGAGCCCAGAAGCGAATCGATCATTCGAATCGACAATCGAAAGCAATCGGATCGGCGGAAATCGGCGGCCAAGTCGCGAGAGGTCGAATCGGCGGATTCGGCAGGCTAGTAACGCCTCCATTGAGAAACCGAAGCCCAGATCGGAACCCGAGGTCGAAACGAGTGGACATAGGAATCGATCGACATCGACTCGAATCGAGCCAGATGAATCGAAATAACCCCTGTGGAGCCTCGGCGGCCTCCAGCCGCTGCAGCGCCGCGGCGTCCACGCAGAGGTCCCGAGAGCTGGTCCGGAAGAACAAGACTACCATAAACACAAACTGTGGGCGCTCCGCGCGGCCTTCTGGGATCTGCGCCGGGTCCCCCCCCCCTTCCCTGGCGTTATGTCGGGCCTGTCCCCCTAGAGGGGGATTTTCGACGAACAATAAAAAATACTCCAAGCATGCCCCAAAAGGGCCAAAAAATACTCAAACAATAATCCCCAGACTATTTTTGAACGATTTTTTACGATTTTGGGGTTTTGTTTCTCGTCGAAAATCCCCCTGTAGGGGAACAGGCCCGACTTAACCCTGGCGCGCGGAGCGCGCCCGGGGCGCCGCCGGAGGCGCCGCCCGTGGGGGCCCAGCGCGGATCCGAGAAATCCGCGCGGAGCGCCCAAGGCCTCACTCTGTTTACGGAAATGCTTCTTGCCGTCGCTCGGACGTCCACTTCCCCTGCACGTGTCGGTGTCGTGCGTGCTTCTTTTTTTTGTTTTGCTCGATGGTCCAGGATGGTCCTCGATGGCCCTCGCCGAGAAAAAAGGCACACGTTAGGGCGACGAAATCTATACATATCCACTGCTCCCAGGCCAGGCCCATCCTCAACCCCGCAGCGGTGTATACGCCACGCCCTCCTGGCTTGGCCAGGAGGGCGCATACACAGCTCCTGGGTTCAAGATGGGCATGGTCAGGGAGCAGTGGATATGTATAGATTTCGTCGCCCGACACGTCCGAGCGATGCCAAGGCTTGTTCTTCCTCGCTGGTCAGGAAGCCCGGGCGCCACCGCTCCGGGGCGCCCCGCGGCGGCGCCGCCCCGCCGGCCGCGGCGCCCGCAGGGGCCCCGCCGGCCGCGGCGCCGACCGCCGCGCCGCAGTGGGCGCAGATGCTCCCCCGAGCGCCCCCGGCGTTGCACGCCCTCCCCGCCAAGCGCTTCGCGAAGAGGGAGGAGGAGGAGGAGGAGGAGGAGGAGGAGGAGGAGGAGGAGGAGGAGGAGGACGGAGGAGGAATCTCCCTGTGCTCCCGGCGTGCCTCTCGCGCGTGCCTGCTTCGGGCCCGAGGTGGAGCGCGCCCGGCGCTGCACGCCCTCCCCGCCAGGCGCCTCGCGAAGAGGGCTCTCCTAAAACCCAGACCCCCTCGAGTCATGAAAAAATCACGACGGGAGGTTTTTCATTATTTTTGGCCTCTGGGGGCCCTTACCGGCCCTCGGGACCGTCAAAAAACGACTCAGGACGAAAAACCGGTCCTGGGGAAGGGGTCCAGACCTCTGGGGGTCGCCGTCATGAAAAAATCATGACGTCGGGGGTCTGGGAACGGCACGAAGATCGGGACAAAATCGGATCGGGAGAACTCGGAATCTCCGAGAGAGTCGGCGGGTTTGGAGGATGCATTGGGCGCCGCGGCCGCTCCAGGGCGTTCCGGAACGCGCCGAGAGCGCTCCGGAGCGCCCTGGAGCGATTTATCCCGATCCTGGCCCTGCTTTAACTTCGGAGCCCCCCGCGCGGGCCTTCGCGAGAGCGCCCGCGACTGGCCCCGACCCCCCCCCCCCCCTGCCCTCCCGAGCGGCCCCGACCCGCCCCCCCCTGCCGGCCCTCCCGAGCGGCCCCGACCCGCCCCCCCCTGCCGGCGCTGCACGCCCTCCCCGCCAGGCGCTTCGCTAGAAGACGGCTCTGGGAGCCCCTTGTGCGATCATTCCCGAGAACGCCCGTGCTCGGCCCCACCCCCCCCCCGCCCTGAGTTGTCTGGCCATGCCCCAGAAGGAAACTCCAGCTGACGCCTTTTCAGGCGGCGCCCGCGCGAAAAGCGTGACGTGACCCCGACTCTCCCCCCCCCACCGGTCACACCCGTTGCCCAGGGGACAGAAAAAACTCGGACGGTGATCAACTGGCCATCGCTCGGACGTCCATTCCCTGCGTTTTGTTCGGACGTCGTGCGTGGCTTGTTCGCCACATGATCAAGGCTGCTCCTCGAGGGTCCTCGCCGAAGGAAAAATGCACACGTCCGAGCGATGCCAAGCAATCCCATTGGGGGTGGGTGGGCCGGGGAGCCCGAGGGCGTCTGGTCTGGCAGCCGCTCCGCCTCGGACTCCCACACGACCTGCTCAGGAATCGTGCCCTCGCCTCCCTGCCGGCTCCATGTTTGGTTTAGGTCGGGTCTGTCCCCCTACAGGGGGATTTTCGACGAAAAATAAAAATACCCTAAAAATAATCAAAAATAATAAATGGTCTGGGGACTTTTTTTTTGACCCTTTTAGGGGTATTTTGGGGGTATTGTTTATTTTTCGTCGAAAACCCCCCTGTAGGGGACAGGCCCGACCTAAGTTTAGACGGCCACGATCCCTGGCAGCAAGTACACCAAGGTACACGTGGCCGTGCTCTCACCCGTGTCCTCCATATAGCCGACCCCCAACTCCTCACCCCGCCTCTTCGCTCTCTTCACCTGTACTGACATCACAGGGCGCTTTGCTGGGGCACTTTCACGCCAGGCGTTTTCGCACAGATTCTCAATCCCGCTGTGAAAATGCCGCAGAAATTCGGCGGTGGACAAACCTCCCTTTAGTAGACCTCCCCTTAGTGAAAATGGCCTGGGACCGAAACCGACGGACCTGGACCTGCAAAAATAACGGCCGCGACGCCCTCTCGCGAACCGAGAACGGCCAATTCACTAATCGACGTGTCAGGGTAGGAGGTCTATCCACCTCCGAGAAATATGGGGCCTAGGGCTGGCAACGTCGGGTCTCAGGGTGAGGGGAACAAAAAGCCGCGCAGATATATAATCTCGGAGCTCCGCGCGGCTTCCTGGGATCGGCGCCAGGCCCGCGCTGGCAGCGCCTCCGGCACCACACCTGGCGCAGGGGGGGGTCCCGCGTCGACCCGAGAAATCGGCGCGAAGCTCTCAAAGTATGTATGTTTATGCTTGGAGGCGGCCGAGGTGTCTGGACTGGACCTCAAGAAACCTGTCAGGAAGGGAGGGCAAATCCGCTCAGAATCGGCCCCCGGACCCCTCTCGGGGTCCGCCTGATCCGTTTCTGACTGTCCCCCGTCCCGAATACGGCCCCCGGAGACCGAAAAGGGGAAAAGCCCGTTCGAACCCAGCACCTCAAACCTCGCCCTCCCCCTCCTGCTCGCCGGAACCAATCCGAGGCCACCTCAGACCCCCGGCTAGCTCCAATGCTTCTGCTCTGTGCAGCTTTTCCTTCCTCGAGCTGTCCCCGAAGACGACGACGTCGTGCGCGCAGACCCCCGCGGCAGGCCCCGGCGCGGCACCGGCGGCGCTCATGGCGGCTCGGGCGGCAGCGCATGGCGTGCGGGTCCGGCAGGCAGGGTGGCGGCAGCCCCCGAAGAGCCGGCGCTGGGAGGCACGTGCAGCATCAGCTCTGGCGACGAGGAGGAGGAGGAGGAGGAGGAGGAGGAGGAGGAGGAGGAGGAGGAGGAGGAGGAGGAGGAGGGGGGCGGGATCGGCCGGCAGATCGAACTGGGGGATCGTAGCAGATCGCAGTGTGCGCCGGAGCGACCTGCATCGGCCCAGAGTCGAAAAATCGAATCGAACCGGACCGGCCGCGCTGGGGTGCACACCAGCGCTATGCAAGCATCGGGACGCGTCGGATCGCCGGACCATCGGCATCGAAGCAGATCGATGCCCGCCAGCAGAAATGGATATCAAATCGGATCGATCACATGCACCGCGGGCCCTGGAAGAGCGTCTTGAGGGAAGTACATACAGAGGCTGAAGGAGCTTACGCAGCGTCGGTGCCAAGGGAGCAGAGGCAGGGGGAGTGGAGGATGACAGGGGAGAGCAGGGGAGGGAGGAGAAGGGAGGGGAAAGGCAGGGGAGCGGGGGAGGGGGAAGGGGGGCGGAGGAAAGGGAGGAGAAAGGGAGGAGGAGAGGAGAGGGGGAGGGGGCGAGCAGGAATGAAAGGGGAGGGAGATGCGGTCTTCGGCAAAGTACAACTAGAGAGAAGGGTCAGGCCAGCACTGCGTCGCATGTGCACAAGAGGGTGAGCTCCGATTGAAGGGACACATTATCCTATTCATCACCTTCATCATCATCACCACCATCGTCATGATCGTCATGAACGTCATCAGCATCATCATCCTCAGCATCATCCTCATCGCCCTCAGCATCATCACCATAATCATCATCATCATCATCATCAGCAGCATCATCATCATCAGCATCAGCATCCTCAGCATCATCCTCATCGTCCTCAGCATCATCATCATCATCATCATCATCATCATCATCATCATCATCATCAGTATCAGCATCATCATCACCACCATCATCATCAGCATCATTGGCATCATCATCAGCAGCAGCATCCTCATGATCATCAGAATCATCATAAGCATCATCGTCTCCAGCATCAGCATCAACATAAACATCACCATCATCGTCATCATCATCAGCATCATCAGAATCATCAGCATCGTCATCAGCATCACCATCATCATCATCGTCATCATCACCATCATCATCATCATCATCAGACGCAGCATCATCATCATCATCATCATCATCATCATCATCAGCATCATCATCATCATCATTAGTAGCAATGAAATCCCCATCGTCGTCATCCTTCTCCTGTGAACGCTCGTGCACGTGACAATTTTCACCTATGCGGATCAATCGTAAAAATCCGATAGGCTGAAGTCCTCGTAGTCCCACGGGCGGAGCTGCCTCATGTAGCTCTCCCACGAGCCGTGTTGTTCGACCACCTTTTCCTCGTACACCATAGTCTGTATGTCAGAGTCCTGCCCCTCTTCGCTTGGAGGGCTGTAGAACAACAACTCGTCTGGGTGCACGCAGTAGACACCGCCGCGGTTTCTAACAAGCCAACTGGAGATCGCATAGTCCACCTGCCCGCGTATCGGGAAGAGGCCATCGACCAGCTCCTGGGCCGCCTCCTTCCTCACCATCCACGCGTAGAGCCCCCAGACGTGGTCGTGGATCTCGAACACCCGCGCGCCCACCACCTCCTCGTCCGAACCCTGCGGGGCCTCGCGCGCACTCCTTCCCTCGGGGCCCCGCGCGCGGGGATGGGGGCAGCCGTCCTTGTGGTGATAGCCCAGGAAGACTGCGCTCCAGTCGTGCGGCAGAGCGCGCAAGATCCGCGCCACGACGCGGTCGGCGTCGGGCACGACCGCGGCAATGTCGTCCTCAAGCACCAGGCCCCACGCCGCGGTGGGGTGCGTGGCCACCCGGCGCAGCGCGTCGCGGTGCGACATCGCGCAAGCGATGCCCCCTGGCGTCAGGTGGTCGTCGAACTGGACCATCTCGTTTTCCGAGCCGCGCACGATGGTGTAGAGGCCCAGGCGCTTCGCACGCCTGGACCGCGCCAGCGCCGTGGTCTCCACCACCTCTCGGACCAGCGGGCCGCTCATGGAGGAACCAAAAACAAAAACAGAAACATAAACTGCCAAAGGCCCGCTCGGAGCTCCTGGATCGGCGCCGGAGGCGCGGCCAGGGCGTGCCAGCGCAGATCCGAGGAATCCGCGCGGAGATCTGGAAGTTTACATATATGCAGTTCTAAATTCCTCGAGCTCAGGGGCAGCTTCCTGCCGTCCACCGCGTCCAGCCGCTCGAGGCGGCCCAGGAGGCGCCCGTTGTCCGTCCCCGCCAGCAGGCCGTGCAGCCTCGCGAGCCGGTCGCTCCGCCGCGCCAGGTTGATGACGAGGGGGCACCACTCCCCCAGCGTCTTCGCGTCCTCCTGTGGCAAGCGGGGACACCAGGAAGAGGAGGAGGAGGAGGAGGAGGAGGAGGAGGAGGGGGAGGAGGAGGAGGAGGAGGAAAAGAGGAGGAGGAGGAGGAGGAGGAGGAGGAGGACGAGGAGGGGAGACCTGGTTTCGTGAGACGAAGCCAGGGCGAGGATAAATTGGACCGAAATCTCGGAGACCTGGCGGCTCTGGAGGAGATGTCTCTGGCACCACGGGCCTTTTCAGAGCGATGCGTGTCGGAACGCTCCGAGAGCGTTCCGGGAACGCTCTGCGACGGAGTTCTCCGCGTCCTGGCCCCGCCCGCTGTTCTCGGGCCCCAGGGCCATCCACAGTGGATCCGGAACGAAAAACTATTTCGGGGGAAGCTCGGGAGCGGCCAAGAGGGGGGTGTCCAAGAGGGGGGGGCGCAAATCATGACCGGCGGCATGTGCGCGGCCCGGCAGGGGGGGGGGCCAGGGACGTGAGGAAGCAAGAAGCGGCGCCATGAAATCTGGGGAAATATCATGGCCCCCGCCATGATATCCACCCCCCCTAGTCATCCCCCCCCTCTGTTCCGCCCCCGAGAAGCGGTCGGGACCCCTGGGGCCGCGGGTGGAGGAAGAGCGCGCGGCGGGCGTCGGGGAGCGGACCCCGCCGGGGCGCTCCCCTGCAGGGCCAGCTCTGCATCCTGAGCCACATTTGGACAAGGGTTATGTCGGGCGTGTCCCCCTGCAGGGAGACTTTCGACGGAAAATCAAAAATACTCTAAAAAAGCCCCAAGAAGGCCAACACATAAGCAAAAACAAATCCCCAGACTATTTTTGGATTAGTTTTTGACTATGTTTGGGGTGTGTTTTATTTTTCGTCGGAAATCCCTCTGTAGGGGGACACGCCCGACTTAAGACACGGGCCTGGGTGAAGAGGCCCTGGGACACACAAATAAATACACACAAATAAAACTGTTCCCC